CCCCAAAACCCCAAAACCCCAAAACCCCAAAACCCCAAGAAAGATGAAAATTATAGAAATAATTATATTTATGTCAATACTACCATTTGTTCCAGCAGTCTTGGGAGGAGTTGACATCATTCTCAGTGGATTCATTGGAATTTACTTGTTAATCTCCTCAATCCTAATCTGGGGCTTAGTCATAACAACCATGTGTAAGTCAGACAGAAAGTTATCAAGGCAGTGATTGACAAATATAGGTTTATAGAATTTAAATTAGCTAACCACTGGCTTTACAAAAATATTTGCAGCTAATCTCTCATCGTAATATAGGACTAGGATTTGTGAGATCTAAGAAATATCAATGGCATCTAATCATTGCCAAGGGTATCTTGTTCATAATCCTCCTGATTATTAGCTATATCAAAATGCTAACTCTAGGTGACTCAGACAGCTCTCTCTGGAAATGGTTCAGTGCTGCTATTGCAATTTGTGCGGTGATATCACTGCTTATGAGTGAAATAATGTATTTAAAACAAATATTTTCAAAAATGGTACTTAATGTGATTAACATTTTACAATAGAGTCCGAACAAAGCTAATAGCTTCGATATTTCACCTCGAAAGAACTTATGGGTACATCCTAAAGAGAAAGCATCAACAATTGAGATAAAGCATACTGAGAAGAAGCTTGACACTGAAAAGGAAAACCTGATTTAAGAAATTAGAGAGTTTCAAGCAAATCAAAATACTCTATATTTTAAGAAATGATTCGGAGATACTTCCTCTGCCAGGAGAACCAATCAAGAGATTTTCCTCTCATAACTCTATTGGTATTCAACCAAGCTTATGTTTAGATTATGCTGCAGATATAGAGGCCCTGGTTAAGCAAAACAATGAGAGTGTTGACTTTAATATGAAGGAAGCTGGCACAGACAGGCGTAAGAAGTTCAATTATCTTTTAGATAACAGCAATATTTTTGACTGACTCAAAGTTAGAAGAGACCGCATACTGAGAGAATCAATGGAGTCACCTAAATTCAACTCTATTGGCTCACGGAAATCATCGATTAACCCTAATGGATCAAAGGACGAACCTTTAGACTTTGCAACAAGCCAGTACAACATGCATCGGTCAGACCTATTTCGAAAAAGAGTGCCAATGTTTAGTTTTGACGGCGATAATACAAGTTCAGTCAGGTCAAAAGAGTCAAGTAAAAATACTATGAGCAAGAAGTCTTCGGAGAATAGTCTGATCAGGTAATTGTGTTAAATTTAACAAATTTAGTAATAAGACTATTGATTTACCTAATACCCCAAATTTTAACCCTACTTGGAGGAAATCCACTGTCTCAAGGTCACGAAGGCGAAACGCTCATTTTTATCAGAAAGCTTACTTTAAGAAACTCTCAAATATCTTAGAGGAAGCTGGCGAAGAAGCTAAAGAAGAGGATCCACTGGTTAATAGAATTAACAGAGGATCTACGCTCAGGGCGATAAAAGAGATTGGAGAGAACCATAGTGCTCTTGGCCGAAACAATGCTGAAGGTAAGCCAGTTCATCTATTATGTATTATCTATATATTTTCATAATTGCTAATGAATTCTAGCTGCTTCTTCATGAAGTTTGTCAGATTTGACTTCGAATTCAAATACGAATCAAGATCAAGGCTCAGTTACTGATATTAGTCAGAAACTGAGTATATCATCGAATAAGCATTCACATCAAAAGGAATCCTCATTCACTCCTTCTGATCAGAGCAAGATCTCTTCGACTAAGAAGAAATCAGCTAACATGAGGAAAAACAGTATTGGACAATCAAATCAGGTAATATTAGATTATTAATAGCTTAGGAAGGCTCAGATATGACAGCTCCTCATTTTGCAAAGCAAGATGATGCCCAGAGCCAGGCTAGGCCGTTGGAGAAAACTTCCAAATCTGTACCGGTAATACAGGACAAAAGGAAGAGGTCCTCTAATACAGTTAAATACGACTCAGGTAGTCTAAAATTGTATAATATCCTCTAGTTCTCAATATTCAGGCGAATATTAGTGAAAGAAGCGGGTCAGGGGTGTATAACCCATTCAAAGAGAATTATAGGCAAAGTAAAACTAGCGAAGACTTCTAGCATCAATGCTCCATTTTAATAATAGTTTCCATATCATTTCGGGACTTTGGGGTTTTGGGGTTTTGGGGTTTTGGGGTTTTGGGG